GGGCGGAGCTAGAGGGATGGCCATTGGCAGTGGTGGGGGGTTGTTTCGGGGAGGGCGAGGTGGCACGGGAGCGCGGCCCGTAGGCGGCGGGGGCCGGTGGTGGCTGACGGCTCAAGGAAGGAGATGTGCCTAGAGGTTGAAGAAAGAATGTGGGTCATTGATTTCGCATCCAACGGTTCAAAGAATCGTATGACCCCAATTTTTTTTGAGTTGACTGAAGTCTAGCCACACACATTCACATCAACACATGATAGTGCGACAACATTCTTTATGAAGAATGGTTGAGCAAGGCCTTCGTTTTACTTTCAAAAAGAAATATTATTGACATGTGTCATGAAATATAGTGTCACATATTCAAACTTGAAATCACTCTGGTTTCATAATTTCATTTTCTGTCATAATCTCATTTTTTTACTGATTTCATAATCTATACTTCAGTCTTCTGTCCTCGAGATCACTCTGTTCAACTTATGACATTATTTTAAGAAGTAAATAAACTTTCAAGACAAAATTTTATATGGATTGTTTGGACATTTCTCTCTATTGTCATCAGTATTGACATATGCTTTTTTTTTGCAGGGACATATTCTCTTTCATATGGATTAAAAGGGAGAAATGCTTCGGTGGATGCATTCAAAGGGTAAACTGCGATGGAGTAGTATACTGTACTACTGTTGGTTGCCAGCCTCGGTATGCATACTATATCAAGATACTTTTATCATGTACTGGAATTCACAACGTCACCGGTTCACAACATGTAGCTGGGTCCTCATATGAAAGTTCTGAAGCAAGCCTTGGCGACAGGTAGACAGTAGTAACTTGCTACAGCCACACAATCCTGCTCCCTCTCCTTGGCTACGTGAGTTGAGGGCCTTGTCCTGTGCCTGCATCTCGTCCTATAAAATTAATAATTCAGGTGGGCCTAGATTTCTCTAGAGTAAAGTACGACCATGCAACCAACACTGTGGATGCGAACCCCTTCGCTCTAGGCTATTGGATTTACACTCATCAACGGCTAAAATTGCTTCCTAGGCTTAGGATTCAAATTTTCAAAACTCGTACACTATATAGTAGTATAGATATACTAGTTGTTTGGCATTGGAAATCTGAGGCACATCGCTGTCAAAATCAGCCTGGCGCTGCTGCATCTACTCAGAATCTCAAGTACGTAGTACTATTTGGTTTGGTTTGGTTGATCTTGAACCGTTGGGAAGAAACGTCAGCTCATACCCTCCTCCATGAATGATTTCAAAATGGAATTTGACAAGGACATTTTACCCTGCCGTAAGCAGTGGTGTCTAATTGCTTATTTTATTCATTTGGCTTTCTCAACCATGCTTCACGCTAAAGTTTACTTTGCCTCAACGCTTCCTCTCTCTGGCTATACACGAACAACAGACATCCGACTCGAAAGTAAAAAAAAAACAAAAAAAAACTTTTGACTCCGTCTCAAAAATGGAAAAAAAAAAGATAATGCATCACCTAAGCCCTAAAATAGTAGGATTCGTGCGTGATAGAATCTTCAAGGTCCAAACTAGGACCTTTCTCCATATTTCTGTTGGGAATCAAAGTGTAGTCTCACTTACTAAAAGTATATCATGTCCATTTCTAGCTGGTATGTGTACTGCTACCCTGTCACATCTGGAACTCACTTGAAAGGCATTCTGGGTAGCAAATCCATCTGGGTAGTTAGAATCCGGGGCAGTGTCAAGTCCTACCGGGAGTACAAGCATAGTTTTACAAAGCCCTACCGGGCCGGCCGGCCTTGGCATCAGGCAGCAACACCAACATTCCTGCCCGGGTTTCCTGCTGAGTTTGGTTTCGTTCGCCACCTCTTACTTTTCTCCACCTGAGTACCAACACCAACACCAACACCAACATTACTTTTCTCCTGCAACTAATACATGTCATCAATCGACGAGACACGCAACAAGGGACGCAACAAGTGATTCAACGAGTGCCTCAATCAATCATCAAATTACATTTTTTTTTCTCTATAGGAACTGAGATACATGTCATCTTACTTTTTATGATTTTTCTATTCCTATGATAACCAGAGGAGAATAGATTCCTACATAATTCGGTGAATTGGATTAGTTGCAGGAGATACAACTGCTGCTATTGCCGGAGCCTCCACCACGATATCATCTCCAAGGTCTTCCAGGTGAAGAACAGGGATAATTTTGCTTCTCCTCCTCACTGTTTGACTTTGCCTTGCGTTAGCTATCAAGATTGGACAATAGCATCTTAGAAAGGCGAGATATTATTTGGTCACAGCCAGCGTTAGGCAGAAAAGTGCATGACAGACGGGAGAAACGTGGTGACTCACTCTCCTCTTCAACCCTAGCCGCTGCCGGGGCCTAGCCCATCCTCCTCCCCTCCTCCCGCCGCCGTCGGCCTCAGGGGCGGCGGGGGCTCTTCCTCCCTCCCGCGTCTCAGGGGTGGCGGGACCCCAACATGCGTGGAGGTGCGTCCGATCTAGAAGCGACAGCGTTGGCTTCGACGGCGGCGGCGGTCGGCCCTGCCCCGGGCCACGGGCGGCGGGTGCGGCGGCTGGCCTGGATCGGGCGGCGGCACGATGCGGTCTTCGGCGGCATGTCATCTGGCTTTAGATTGGCGGCGGCGTCGAGGGCCTGGTGGACTGCTTGGCGGCACCCATGGCAGATCTGTTCTGGCCGGTGTAGCCAGTGGTGGTGGTCATCTTCTTCGTCGGCGGTGGCCGGCCAGAAACTTGGTGATCGGATCTCGAGATCCATCATCTAGTCCCGGCTGCGAGTTGGGGAGACATGGTTGCGGTGAAAACCGAGCCGACGGCAGGCGATGGTGGCACTCTACGCCGTTATCTTGATGAAGGCATTGTCGTGTAACTACTGTCGACCCACTCGTGCTGCTTCGGGGGAAACCCTAGGATCTGGTTTGTAGAAATTGTGTAGGAATTCTATAGGCTAGGATTTTCAAAGGAAAAGTTTCTTTCGAGCCTCTTGGTTTGTAGGAATGGATCTCTATTCCTATGTAGGATATGAACCAGTCCTTCACGTTTCAAAGGAAAAAGAAACATTAGCCTAGACTCAATGGAAAACTTCTTATCCTAGACATCAAATTACATTTTTTCTCTATAGGAACTGAGATACATGTCATCTTACTTGCTATGATTTTTCTATTCCTATGATAACCAAAGGAGGATAGATTCCTACATAATTCGGTGAATTGGATTAGTTGCAGGAGATACAGCTGCTGCTATTGCCGGAGCCTCCACGACCATATCATCTCCAAGGCTTTCCAGGTGAAGAACAGGGATAATTTTGCTTCTCCTCCTCACTGTTTGACTTTGCCTTGCGTTAGTTATCAAGATTGGACAATAGCATCTTAGAAATGCTGGACTGGTTGAGAAGTCGTGCTAAAATTACCAACGAATTACGGACTCTAAATACTACTCCCTCGGAGACAACTAATATGGAACGGAGGGAGTACTACTGTAATACTAATAGTAATAATAATACTATCTCTCCTTTGCTCTTTTGGCTGTTCTAGGGGAGGAATGTCCGCGCATTTCTCTTCTCTCACGCCATGAACATCGCTACGGGGGCCAAGGAGGACAGGCAGCTCATGACCGGCTTCACACGGTGGCCGATATCCATTGCCGTGATTGCCGCGAGGTGCTTGGATGGAAATACGAGAGAGCCTACGAAGAATCCTACAAGCACAAGGAAGGCAAGTTCATATTTGAAAAGGCCAAGATCGTGAACGATAATTGCTAGTGCTAGTAAACAAAAGATTCAGCCATATTTGTAATTTGTTCCGTCTGTGGAGAGACAAAATTATGTTCATTTGTGCGGGAACCATTTTCTCACCGATCATAAATGGACGGTTTAACAACGCGTGATCGTATTTCCCCGATTGTGCTTCAGCAACAAATTAAGTAGTACTAACATAATTAAATGTGAGGTGAACACGGTCACAGAGCAAAGCCTTTGCAGGCATCTCCCATTTGGTCATTCCAAAAGCTTAGCTACTTTGTTATTAGTACTGTATGACCTACTAACTTTTAGTGTCACCGTTTGTTAATGTAGCCTAGTCCCCAGGCCCAACCCCTGTGCTCCAATGGTACCTAAAGTCCAAGGTCCTTGTATTGGAAGTTGTTTTTGTAGCATTGTGGCACTGGGAATCTGCATATGGCAAGTGGCATTTACCATATTTCCCAGATCTGAGAGCATGGATTGGATTGGCTTGGATTGGGGCCTAGGAAAAAAAAGTTACCAAAAAGCTGCTAGTACGTACTTATCATTGAGTTTTTTTTTACAACTCACTCGCCACCAGGCCAGCCCAGCCAAGTTGATGTGGATGTGTAGTGTAGAAGTAGAGAGTATGCATGCTTGGCCTGTTGCTTTGCTTTGGAATCAAGGCAGGAAGTACTTGAAATGGTAGGGTCAGGATCTTACTACAAAGTGACCCAAAACTGTTGGCGACTTTGGGTGGCAGCGTCAGGATGTGGATCTTTATCCCTCAGACAATACAGCTAGCTGCAGGCGCTGGAGTGTTTTTTTTAAAAAAAAAAAAAATCTGTGTTTCTAAAAATGTAAGACATGGCATAGATTTGGCACATGTTTGTACTTTGATAATTCATGTTGGAAAGCTGCCAGATTGCAGATTGTTTCATCTAGACAAAAAAAAAACATTCTTTCTTGACCAACCGGCTGAGATACTGCTTTGCTTCAGGTATGTGAAAAGCAGCAGAACAACTAAACTGCCTTAATAATATTAGCAACCAAATGACATGCTTAGTTTAACCAAACTCTGATGGATAACAAATCTTTATGGTAACAACCCCAGTTTTCCAATTATTTACAGATTGACCTCCTTAGCCATCTGATGGACCTGATGCACTCCCTAATTATACTAACAGCACCTATGTCCCCAGAACCAGCATTAACAAAAGGATAAAAACTATATATAAAAAAGCAATGAGCATCACCATCATCATGTGAGAAGTCTGATGATACTCAGGCAATGAAATCCCCTTTCTCTTCCAACTCCAACAGATCACGAGAATAATGTGTGGCCTTGCAGGTCTGGTAGACCATGTATGTGATGACAGTGTCAAGAACACAGATCATGGAGTGAATGTAGGCGATGAGGAGCCCTTCGCAAACCATGGCCGAGCTTATCCTGCCGTCGATCATGTACAGCTTCATGACTCTGAGCTGGAACAGCCCCTCCACGGCGGTGGTGGCGAGGCTGGCCGGCAGCGCCACGGCGACGGCGGTGGCGGCGTCGCCCCGGACGAGCAGCAGCGCCTTGAGGAACGCGTGGCAGCCGCCCCGGCCCTCGGCGGCCGCGACGACGGTGGCGAGGTTGCAGACCGCGGCGGCGTTGGCGAGCGCGACGGAGTAGACGATGACGCCGACGGCCGAGAGCGCCAGCACGGCCCTGCCGTCGGAGCCCAGCCGCAGCGCCTCCGCGGCATTGAAGGCCGCGAGCAGCGCGGCGAACACGGCCGCGTTGGCGAGCAGGAGCGCCGCGAAGTTGGCGAGCTGCGTCCGCGCCATCGCCGGGTAGCGGCAGCACGACGCGGGAAGCGCTGACAGCTCGTGGTGGCGCTGCTTCCGCGGCGGCGGGGGCGCCTGCATGGCGCGCACGGCGCAGGCCTTGGCGAGGAGCAGGAAGGAGAGGGAGAAGGGCAGGGTGGCGAGGAAGGAGAAGACGGACTGCGACAGCTTGTGGTTGAGGAGGAAGAGGAGCTGGGAGGCCGGCGGGAAGCCCGCGGCGACGAGGACACGGCGGAGGCTGAGGGAGAGCGCCGGGAGGAGGGATGCAGCGGGCGAGCGGGAGAGGAGCGCGGCGGCGGAGAAGGGGAGCGCGAGGAGCGCTGCCGCGGAGGCCGCCGGGTGGTAGTGCGAGAAGAAGGCGTGGAGCGCCGTCCTCATGATCTTGGTGGCGCTCCCCATTGCCGCGCCGGCTCCTCGCCGATATTGGCCGATGGTCTTGGCTTGCTTTCAACGTCTTCTTTTTTGTTGAAGATGGTGCTCCTCTGCGAGTGTCCGTGGAGGAGGGGTTTGGAGTTGGGAGTGGTGTGGTTTGAGCGTTTGAATGTGGAGCAGAGAGAATGTGGCAGGCATCATGTAGTATCATTTCTCTCCTGCTGCATGTTGGGTAGGATGTGATATCGCCCACCTGCTGGCTGCTGCTCCAACAACTCCTGCGATCTGTGCTTCTATCCAGGAATTCATTTATTTGTTTTACAAAAATAATGGTTCTGCTAGTTTTAAGTCGCCGGAGAGCTCCTTATGTCTAAGTCGTTTTCTCATACACAATAGCTATATGTAAGTCATCTGAGTTTAGAATTTGGGTCAGTCGAATTTTGCATGAAGGAAAGAACGGCCAGAGGGAAGGAACGAGCTCGCCGGAGAGGCCCTTTGGGTATATCTTAGGATGGCAAGCGACCTCATTATCTATCTTAGAGGTGTTGGGGTGGTGCAGGTTCGTCGGAAAAAATCTGGGCTTTGAAATATGAAACCTTGGTGCACAATCTATTTTAGAGTGAAATTTCGTGAAAAAATATCAGGAAACATATCAGCGACAAAAAGAGAAAAAAAATCCCTATACATGGAAAAAAGAAACTGTTTTAATGGATTTTAGTTCCGATTGTGTTTTCTTCACCACTGATACGTTCCCTGGTATTTTCTACAAAAACTTCATACAAGAGTAAGTTGGACACTCAAGTTTGAGATCCCAAGATTTCAGTTTTTTTTTCTTGAAATTTTCTGGTATTTTCTGAATTTAATTTTCGTACAGGGGTGGAGCATGCAGGTGCTCCTGTGTATTTTCCTTTGGCGCAGCTGCTATACTTGGCAACAGATTCGATTGCTGATGCTCACGTACATAAAACAGGACGAGGGAACGAATGTGCGTTTGTGGTGAACTTGACCTTTTTGGTAGGACCTGCCAAAAAAGACCAGAAACAAGAACACCAGATCACAAAATCACCATCTCCTTCTGGTACAAGTGAAGTGAGATATGAAGTGAGATATATATGACGCAGCAAGGCAAAGCCCTCACTATAGATCACAAATCCCCATAAATCACGAATTCCCAGTCATGCAAGCCATCACTACACATATGTACGATGTATGTAGTAGAAAAAAAAAACGTATTTAAACAGGATTTTGGCGTGGAGATTATAAACACCAGAACAGCACATGCTGCGATGATTGATCATCGTCAATGTGTATGCTACAGCAACACTACTTTCCATTAATTAAGAAAAAAAGGTAGCCAAAGAAGAATTAGCATCACAAAGAAGTCATACTTTTAGACCCTAATTGCGACTAATTTACTGAGCTAGTGGTAGTTTAGTGAGTTGATAGTGCCCCTACCCCTGGCAAATGCCACTGATCAATGACGAAGCCAATCTCGCGCACTAGGTAGACTGCATGGGACTGTACCAACGTGCCGCACTAACTGCACTGCCGTGTGGACTACTAATACATACTCCGGAGTACAGAAAATATTTTTTAGTTTATTAAAGCGCAAACAGAAATTTATCACGGATATTAAACCAGTGACCAGTCTTTCTCAAGGGCCACACCAAAAGGTGGCCACCAACTTTGTTTAACTCCTACGCGACCACCATTCACCGACATGTGATCTCTGCCTCCGCGCGCGCGCACACACACTAATTATAGTCTAATCGCGCGGCAGCACTATGCTCAATCACAATATCCCTTCTTTTTCTTTTAGACAAAAGAAGGAGCGGGATCATATAAAATCACTTTGGCGCATTCATTAGTCCATTCACCCCGCTGCTAATCATTTGAGCCCAAGCAAAGTAAATTTCTAGAATAATAACATTCCAACGACAGATGATTTCCCGTACTACTGTCTGGAGATGATCAACGATGAGTGGCAACTTCACAGTGGCAACTTCACAGTTAATTTGTTGTGAGTAACAGCTAACAGGACATGGTAGAGAGGTTTGTTAGTTGTTAATTATAGGTGAGTTGTCCAAGTGCACCAACCTATGGAAAAGTAGAGCGGCCACTTACCCTTGACAAACAGCGAGCCTTTGGTACCATCCGTAAGCAGGATTTGGTTTCAGTACCACGGAAGCTGTTGAGGAGCACAAGGCCGGGAGCATGTGAAGCAGCTCGCCTGTCGAGCGAGCACTCCGTGTTGCTGTTGCCAGCCATCCACATCTTCAGAATGGGGCGAGCAACAGTCAAAGGCATCAACCAACTTGAGAATGTGACGCGCGGTCCGCATCGACCTGAAGCACAGAATTCTCTCTCCCAGGCTTGATCTGAATTTGCAGCTCGCGTGGAGAAATGTTCCTTCGGTAAACTATCCTGCCAAAGCACAGTTTCAGATACAATCATAGAGCACCAAATGCTAGCCGACAATTTCAGCAGCGCAATCATTAGCGACCCAAAGAGAATGAATGAATCATACCTTAAGGTCCTTGTTGGTGGCCCTGGTTATCATGCAGAATTGCTTGGCTTTCAGCTGCAGTCTAAAAAAGGCCAAACAGCATATATATAGACTACAGAGGATGGGAAAATGTGATGATCCACCATTCAGGTCTAATATGGTAGGTTAACAGGACGTAAACACAAAGGATGAACGGAAGATAACTAATCACAAGCCAAAAACCAGCAGACCATTTACTGCAAATACTAGATGAAGATGTGTTCAGGGAACACGTGTACCATTCTCAAACCAGAATTACGGACCCTCCATACCAGGTTCAGCTAAATATGCTGATACAACTGTCTTCGCTAATACAAAAAAAGTGCAACATCTACATAAATCCTATCATTTCTGGAAATGGGGATTGAGGAGCCCAGAGATCTCAAGAAACCCAACACGGTCACGCCCTCCAAATATCTTCTTCAGTTTCTCGTCGCAGACTATTATCTTCTTGTTCTCAGGATCCTGGTTGCAAAAACACATAGATTCAGAAAAGGAAACTGCTACTGTATTGAAAACAGAAGGTATTGTTTGCAAGGCTAAGCCATTAACACTGTCTGTGCCAAAAATGCTGCACCGCATAATGAAAAAATGCGAGGGCCAATGAGCAACAAGAAATGCATTAACTAGAACTATGACAGCCAATTATCTTAGTATGTTCTTTTTTAGCGGCAGCCAATTTCTTTTTTTAGTACCACTGTAGTCTCTTACTGAACAATGAACACGACAAAAATGGTCTTATATATAAAAAATAATTCAATAACTAGTTTATCTTCTTATGGGACAATACAGTTAAACCTCTTCCACAGCAGACAATATTTAATTTTTGGTTCCGGTGCTATTAGTACATATACCACATTTCAATCCACAAAGGTAAGTAATACATAAGCAGCATTTGGATCCAAATAGGTAATGCTATGAACTAGGGAATTTGTGAGTGCGGGTGAACTGATCAAGAAAGAACCTGGAAGATTGAACGCACAACGGTGACAACTTGTTTGTTAAACTAAAGATCTTAAGTAACTAACAAATAATCCAGGGGCAAGCTAATGATAAATAATAACTACATGCAGGTCTTCCCCCCGAATGCATCGACAACAGATGAGTACACAAATAGTTACAAGAACACTGGCAACTGAGGGTAATTTTTTTTACGCAGGCCATAAAATTATACAAGATTGAAGGCCACATAAGAACTTAAAGTTACTAGCAATGGATGTTCAGTAAGCACGTTCACGGCAATAGCATCTTTGGCTTGTGGTCCAGGCAGTTATAAATATGGGCCCTGTGTTTGAATATGTGTGTGTGTGTGGGCAGTTATAATGATTCATATAGCACTGAGATTGGGAGGTTCAACCTTTTACGTTAAAGCTTGCATTAATGAGGTGGTTTCCTTGAAAATATTATGTGCCTTCTATGTAAACTACATCTGTGCATATGACATATGTTTACAAGATTGGCAAGAAATGCGGATACAGTAATGTGGTGGAACTTTCTGCAAGCACTCTGTTTTACTTCTCTATTTGTGGATAGGTTAAACAATGTTGTACTGGAATACAGTCTGTATGATAAAGTAGTGTCCCTCATTTTGCAACAGAAATAAAATAAGATTGCAATTCTTTCTGTTATCACTAGTTTCCAAAGTAATGACCGCCTCATTTTTTTGTCCTTGTTACGGGTAAAAATAAAGGAATGAGAAGTTCACAGATATTTTGGCACAATCAAGTGCCCAGTCACAAGCATGCAGTCTGCAACTGAGCTACCTACGTACAAGGTGCTTAGTAGTCAGGCCTATAAGGTAACCGAGTGGGGCAATGTGCCCGCACAGGGTCCTCATTCTGGGACCTTTCTTTAGTAATCTTGCTGCAGGTGTGTGCATGAAATCGATTTTCTGCAGGTGCATATTTCAAATTTTAGACCCCATATGGACCATGGGTATTTCTCATGTACCAGATGTGCTTGTGCACTAGTAATCTTTGGCAGTTTCTATGTAAATACGAAAGAGAAGTGCCAGCCTTCTAGTTCGCATACATATCAGAGTGCACCTTTGAACCTCTTCAATAGCACATACTTCATCTCGTTCCATATTACAGCCAGGGTTTAATATTTCACTGAAATTCGTCATAATACAGACAGGACAAATTCAAACCAAATTTATAGCTTTCGTCAAAATTTATCAATTTTTCATGAGACCTTAATAATTTCGAACTTACAAAGAATCTGATATTTGTGAGTTTTGGCTGTGTGCATCTTAGCTATGTAGAGATCCGGTGCTACTCATCATGCTTTGTATCCGTTTGATGCTAATTATGAGTTAATAAAAGTGCCCTTTATCGAAGAAAATAGGATGGGCACTGAGTAACTTCCACGGTCAAGTTTAAACCCTGACCACAGTCCGCATTTATGCTCAGAAGATTTGCATCACTGTAAGGTCAATCCTAAACAGTTAAACAAGGGCGCTGGCCAACGACATAACCAGATG